TTGCTGCAGAGTTGGACAGCGCAGAACCAGTTTCTTGTGGCGTGGCGCGAGGCTCGCATGGTTCTCATCCCAAAGGACGAGGTGACCGGCGCGGCTGCCGAGGTGGCCCGTCGTCGGCCCATCACAGTGTTCAACACCACGCGCAGGGTCGTTGCTGCTACTTGGACTGCGCGAGCTTTGTGTGCGTGACTGGTTGCCTCAGGTTTGCCTTCCTTACTTCCACGGAGGCATCGCAGGCCGCAATGCGTGGCAGGCCCTCAAACACATTGAGGCCTCGTGGGATGAAGAGGCCATTTTGGTCTCTTCCGACTTCGAAAAGTGCTTCGACAACGTTGTGCCGGCATTGGCTCTGGACAACCTGCGCAGACATGGCTGCCCAGAGGACTTCCTAAGGGTGGTGGCCTGGACCTGGCTGGAGCAGCGGCGATGGATCCAGTATGGTGGCTTTATTCATCCTGAGCCCCAACATGTGACGGCATCACTGCCGCAGGGCTGCCCTGCCTCGCCATTGGCTCTTACGGCTTTGCTTTTAACTCCGGCGACTCGACTCCAGCGGCTGATGGGCGAAAACTTTTGCCAGTCTATTTTTGTTGATGACAGGACTGCAGTGACGAGGTCTATTGACGACACCGCGAGAGTCATCAACTTCTGGGTTTCTGCTGCCCGGGCTTTTGGCCTGCAGGAGAACCACGATAAGCTCAAAGTGGTGACGCGAAGCACTTGACAGCGACGGCTGCTCCAAGCGCGGGGCATTCAACTTGCTTCTGAGGCCACTGTTCTTGGAGCTTCTTTTCGTGAGGATGCATTGCCCGAGGTGACTGGCCCGCGGCTCGATAAGTTTCAGGCTCTCCTGCGACGACCCCGGTGTCTCCCCGTGAGCTCAAGTGTTAAGCACAGTTTGTACAGGACGACGATAATTCCGCAGTTGCTGTGGGGCTTTTGGTGGAACCCGCGCTCCGCCGACGCGGTGAAAGACTTCCACAAACTCACGACCCTTGTGAAGCGGGCCCTGGATGTTGTACAGCAAGGATCCAGGGATCTTTGGCTGCCATTGGATGGACGTGGGTTTTGCTTTGAGAATGACGTCGGCAGCGGCGTTCTTCAAGGCGGATGTTTTTTGGCGAGGTCATGGCCGTCGGCTCATCACAGGACGTTGGGGGCTGGCGGTTACTTCGTTTTTGCAAGACTATGAGTTCGACAGGACTGGGGCTCACACCTGGCAGCATGCTGTGGTCGGTGACTTCGATCTGTCGGGAGGGGACGTGGCCACAATCGCAACAAGGCGCTGCACCTGCGGCGTCGAGAACGCCATGAGTCTTTTCTGCAAGGGCGACGACACGAGCTTGCAGACCTCATCCCCGATGACGTTGGCTACGACGAAAACGTGCTCAAGGCGGCCATCAAGCTTTACAACGGTGCCTCCAATGAAGAGCGTCACATCATGCTCGGTGGCTGTGTCAGTGAAGAGCAATACGCCAGGATGCATCGGATGCCTCTTCAGGGCGCTGGATCGTGTCTCGTGCAGTGTACCCTCTGCGGGCACGATGGAGTTCCCATCTGGTGGCACGTTGTGTGGTGCTGCTCCTGCTTGTGGCAAGGGTTTCGTCTTGGCAAATGCCGTGGTGAAGGCTCCGCGGGTGCTTGTGGTAGGGTTGCTGTCTTGGCAAAT